AAGGAAGGAAGAGAAAGGAGGAAGGGTGGAAGGAAGGAAGAAATGAAGGAAGGAAGGAAGAAGACAGAAAGGAATGAGGGAAGGAAGGGTGGAAGGAAGGAAGAAGATGGGAAGGAATGAGGGAAGGAAGATAGGAAAAAGAAAGGAAGAGTAAAAGGAAGAAAGACAAAGGAATGAGGGAAGGAAGGAAGGAAGAGAAAGGAGGAAGGGTGGAAAGGAAGAAGACAAAGGAATGAGGGAAGGAAGGAAGGAAGAGAAAGGAGGAAAGGTGGAAGAAATGAAGAAGACAGACGGAAGAAAGAAAAAAGGGAGGAAGAAGAGAGAAAGAAAGAAAAGAGGAAGCAAAGAAAGAAGAGAGAGAGAGAGGGATTAAGTTTACCAACTAATTGACCCATATTGTTTGTCAGGCAAAGGCAGGTAATTTTCTCCCCCAAAGCAGTAAATTTCACTAAATTTCCTTCTTGGAGCAAAGTCCTATTTGCTCTGCTTGTCAGCGTGCGTGTTTTCTTTCACTGTCCCCCCAGTTAAGAATTGTGTTATAATATCCAGTTGGGAAGAAGAAGAAGAAATACAAACAAGTTCTATTATTTGTAAGCATCCCCACCCCCCTCCATCCACTTAACTTTCTACCTCTTTTAGATTTACAACCCCAGTTGAGACCAATATTTCCCTTTGCTAAGCAAGCCGGTTGTTAAGGGAGCTGGGTTACGGTTTTAGGACCACTTTGCCATAACTTATAGTTATTAAGTGAGTCGGTTGTTAAGCGAATCTGGCATCTGTTTAACTTTGCTGGTGGAAATCTGCCTGTGGCCCCAGGATGCTGCAGTGGTTGTAAATAATGTATTGCTTGTATATGGATGCTCTGATGGTCGTAAGCGTGAGTTGTGGCCCGTTGTAAGTCCCTTTCCTTCAGTCCTGTTGCAACTTGGCATTCGCTAAACGAGGACCACCCAAACTATTTCAGCCTTGGCAACCTGGCACATGCAGGGAACTGGTGTTGGGGGAGGGGGGGAAATATACAAACTACTTATAAGCACTGGTGTTGAAATGTATGTTTAGTTACGGGTTTATTGATGGATAATATTATGGGTATTTAAAGGAATTTTTAAAAAAACATCATTTTAACCTCTCTTCCTTTCTAAAGCTACAGATGAAATTGAAAACAGGATATGTTTTAAAAGGGAAATATTTTGAATTTGGCAGAAAAGGATGCTTGGGATTTTTCTCATTATCCCAGGTTTTGGGGGGGGGGGGGGAAATCTGGAGAAATTCCAGAGGTGATTTATTCCTGTTGCTCCCTCTCCACCTCTCCAGAGCCCCCAAAGGAGGGTCCTATCTTTCCAATCAATCTATTTTTTCCAGAAACACAATGTGGCACCAACAAACCCCGAAAACTGCAAATAAGATTGCAGTTATATTTAAAAACCCCAGGTATAGTCTAGGAAGAACCGATTGGTTGCAGCAGTAAGAAGACCAGGTGTTTTCCTAGTTGCCATGCTGCACCTGTTCCCCCATGACAGTTTTGGGATGGGCACCTGCTAGACTTTGAGCAATAATACCCTGAATGTGTCCTTGTGGTTGGTGGACCTCTTGAGCCCCTCGTGATAGTTGGGGAGTCCTTCATTTTGTTCCTGGATCTGTTCTCTGCAGGAATGTATTCTCTCCGGCATCATGTCCGTCAATGGCAAGAAAGTTCTGCACATGGATCGGAACTCTTACTATGGAGGGGAAAGTGCTTCAATTACACCCCTGGAAGATGTGAGTATTCCTTCCTCCCTTTCTTTCTTTCTTTCTTTCTTTCTTTCTTTCTTTCTTTCTTTCTT